CAGTGTCATACAGCTTTTAATTGTTTTGGAAGAACATTTTCTTTATTTTGTCTATTTTTCACAACTTTCTTGCATGCAGGCTGTATTCCTCCTTCTGTTAACCCATTCAGATAATATTTCTGTTTCACAGCTTAGAGAAAGTATCATGCTAACACACCATAAAATGAGAATGATGTTGTTTGCTTTGCACCATCTAATGTGTTGACTGTACTTTTTCCCTCTTAAAGGACAAAATATGTTTTATATTAATAGTGTTATTTGTATGCAGCACCTCCTGATAGTCTCAGGGATCTCCCATTCAGAGGAGTTGTTAAATCCCTGCTTCATTAAGTTTAAGCAATGTAAACATCCAAGACTATTAGGTGGCCTGAAATACGTTTTTAGAAATTCACAATTCAGGATCAGTTACAGTCCCAAAAACACTTAAGTATTCAAGATCTAGCCATCATATATTTCTGAATGAAGCTGTTAGGTTTTCAGCTCTGATGGATGTAACCAATTGAATCTATTTACTAATTTGTCACTAAAAAGTCACAGTTACACATTTATATATTTCTAGCTACTTTCTCTCTCTCTCTCTCTCTCTCTCTCTCTCTCTCTCTCTCTCACACACACACACACACACACACACACACACACACACACACACACACACACAAACATTTAATGCACACTTAGAAGGTTTAATAGTATTGGGGTTGTCCCAAAAATTACACCTTATTTACATATATACTGAGAAGTAGATGCCCTGGGCTTAAATTTTCATATTAGACATTAATACTGTATGTATGTGTACATGTATGTGTATCTATGTATGTTGCCTTCACTAGATAAGGATAATAATTATCAGTGGCTCAATTCCAGAAGAAAATTGTCGTGTTTAAATCCTGTTGAAATCAGAATTTTGATATAAATTATTTGCTGAAATTGGTTGAAATCCTGTTGTGCATTTACGCAAATAGGGTACATTTTAGACTGAATTGCTGTAAGTTAAGAAATCTCTGTAGACATATCTGTTGCATGCTGAGTCATGCAGCTCAGTGCACAACATATAATGCTTACAGAGATTTCATTACTTGTGGCAATTCACATCTAAAAGTTGTGCTATTTGCATAACTGTGCAATGGGATTTCAACTATCGTTTCAGTGGGACCTTACTGTGACCAATTTTCTTTGTATACAGTATTGGCGAAAGAGCATACAACTCAGAACATGTGGGCAAAAAATCATGTTGCCAAAAAACAACAGTTGTGCAGTCCTTCTCCCCTCCCTTCAGTAGGCTGTCCTTCACATCTTTGGTGCCACAACTATTTGTTGTCCTGTTGCACAAATACAGTAGTGCATCAGCACACACACAAACGGCAGCCTGCTGGTGGTAGTTGCTCTTGGACTCCACTTTTCCCCAAAGGTGCTTAACACTTAATGGTTGGAATCCTGTTTAGCTTGATAAATCACACACACAATAGGCCTGTTGAATCAGTGGAAGTTGAAGAGGAGTTGACTCACCAAATTTCCACTGATCCATTGGGCCTTTTCTATTTGCAGTATACTATACTAAACAACAGGATTTCAGCATGTATTTAATGCATATTATTTCTTTGACAATTCAAATAAATTTGACAGCAACCCTGTAAGGCAACCTCCATATTGTAGACAGAGAGTGAACTGTCCTGTATTTGAAATACGGATTGCCTAGTTCATACATATACAGAGCAGTCTTAAAACATGTTTTCTAATAAAGAGTTCCCATTTTACTTAGTGGAGCTCTGTTCCAAATAAGCTTGCAGTTTGGACAGTCATGATTGTTTATGACATATATCTTGAGGCTCACGGCACTATCATTCAGTCATTCAACTGTGAATCCAGATCAGATGAACTGTGTTCAGCTCAACTGAAATGTTGTTGTTCTGTTCTTAACCATACTGAGGCTGCAATCTTAAGCACATTTACCAAGGGATCATTGAATGAAATGGATCTTAACTTCCAGTTTAAAAATTCATGCATGTGCAGTGCAGTCCTGTCCCCCCCCTTTTTTGCTCAGAATAGTGCAATCCTGTTCTTTTCTGCTCCGAACTACCTCAGATAAGAAGACCATATAAGGAATATCAAAGGGTCAAAGATTCTCTTGTAGCCTGAGAGTTGATGGTCCCTTGGATCTTCTTTTGTGAGGCTCAACAGTTGGGCCCTTGTCTTTGTCCCAGCCTCCTCAATTTTGTCCTGAACTTTATTCTGCCTTGACTCTGCAGCTTTACAGTATATGTGCAGATCTCTATACTTGTGGTTTCTAAAGAAGCTGTTGTCTAAACCAGTTTGGGAATAACACATTAAAAGTTATGTTATTCATGTTGAATTCGTAACTTTATTTGGATCAGAAGGCCCTCAGAATCAAATGCTTAAATATATGTTTCAGAAAGTCAGATTAACCGAAGTTTTACTCATGAAAAATATCAGTTGCCCACCTCCTGTAGATGAGACTGTGGCTACATTATATTTCCCCAAAGGGCAAAGAGACTATAGTTCCTTAAAAAAATTAGGAGCACAATGGGGGATGGGAAACAATCTGGATAACATTAAACAGGCTCTTATCTTTGGTGCAGTCTATTTCATCTCACACTTGAACAATCCTTCCATTTACATGGGAGACATTTCTTCTCCCACAAAATAAATCCAGACTTCAGATTCCTGCAATTTATTCCCCTTTTGATTGTTGATCCCCCTGCCCCTTTCCTGCCTTTGTCTTAGTTGTCATTCCATGGGTCATAGCAGTTTCCCTTTTTTGTTGTTTAATTTAGTGGCCCAGCGCTACAGGAATATGTCAACCTATCATGGATACTCCCTTATATCTGAAATAACACTGTGTCACTTAGGAGGATGTTTAAAAAATTGTGAGGAATGGAAAATAGAGGAGAGGGTTTCATTACCATACTTTCTACTGCCACATCCCTTTGCATACATTACAGGGTTGTAACCAAAATGAACACTGCCCATAGCTCTATTTGGGAGTGAATTTAGCTACTGCACAGGGTGCAGAATGGGGTAATCAGGAGCACTCCCAATTTCACCAAATAAACTGCAGCCCTAGCACTGTGCCAGAAAGAAACAGAACAATTCACAAAAGGGATGGGATGGATTACTCTTACTTAAAACACATGTGGTTACTAGAAAATAGCGAACCAAATATGTAGCATGCTATATGCTCGTCTGATCATCCCCTACGTTTATTCTAGGTAGCCCAAGCTTGGCTGTATAAATGCACTTATACTATAATACCCAAAAATCTTCATTAACAAAGTCAAAAATCTAATGTATTTCTCTGGAGTTATAGTTTTAAGAGCAGCAGGAATGCAGATATTGGGAACCATTGGGCAAAATCCTGTTCACATAATTACGGCAACGTAAACTGGATTCAGATGCCAGACATAATCAATTCAAATGACTCAAATGCATCCTACCACCCCTCCCTATGGTTCCTTTTTGACACTGCTGAGATTTGGACAGCGATTTTTAGTATCCCTCATCCCCATCCTGAAGCTCCCAAAGGCCTCCCCATGGCAAAAAAGAACTATAGGGAGCCCCAGAAACGCAAAGGGAAGATAGCATGCTTTCAGTTGATTTAAATTGATTATACAGTATCTGGCGCCCAGATCCAGTTTATGCTGGCTTAACTACACAAACAGAATTTCACCCATTGCTGTGTTCTTAAATCTGGTGTATAGATACCTCACCCAGTACACTTTTTTTAGCACAGAACTGTAAGAAACCTCTCCCAAGAGTATTGGCCTTATTCAAAGGTGATTCTGAGAGCTATTGAGGCTCATTCCTGTTGCACCCAAATCAAGCTACGTGCACTGCCTTACAAATGGAAAACAAAATACTGGCTTCGGTCTCCCATGAACTGAAAATACATAAGTTTTAAAATTGCTTTAAAGATTCCTTGTTGTGATTATTTTGTCTCCCTCCTGTGGTATACATGTATGCCTGTGCATCTATACACCAGATACAGTACATGCATTGTTAGCAGTCTCCGTTGTGTGTAAGGATTATAATTGGCCACAAGCGTGTTACTAAAGCCAACATTTAAAACAGCTACAATAGATCTGTATAATTATATAAGAAAAAGCCAATGATCAGGGTTAGAAGCTTCCAGTTTCAGTTTCTTCACTCATGTGAAACATCTGTTGTCCACTGGAAACTTTCATTTGCACAAATAAATTGAAACACTTACACAATTAAGGGGAGAAACATACATTTAAATCAGTTGATCTAAAGTACCTTTCAAGTTGGGATACACTAAAAGATGCTTTTAAAACCCATTCCCCCTTTCCTACACAGTAAATCCTCAGAAATGCATCGTACTTGTGACTCAAAATGTCTACAACTACAAAAACATCTGGAACTCCTCAAGAAGTTCATCCAGTCCACCCACCCATTTCCCAAAACACTTTCTCAGCTTTGTGCATATCTCCAAAAGTTCCCTTTCACAGCAAACTGAATTTTTTGCTCCTCTGTCTCAGAGACGTTGACAGAACCAGCAATCTGAAGGGAGAGAGTTAAGTCATTCTTATTGGCCAGTATCTGGGATTTCAGAACATGGAGACATATTTAATACCTTCATCTGAAAGAGAAAACAGAAGACAGACAAATGTCTTAAATATATGTTTCTTTAAATTTAAATGCTTCATCTATTATAAGTTAATAAAATACAAAGAATCAAGCTTAATAAGAATGATAATTAATACCACGTCAATGCATTGCCCACAGAGGTTTTAAAAGAAAAATATGGCTGCATTGCAATGTGCATTTCCTCACACCGGTGATGGCCAACCCTTTGCCCCCAAAGACAATCATAAATAAAAGTAAGCCTTCAAGCTTGCTGTTGTGTGCAATTTAATTTGTCCTTTAAGTTTATCTATCTGCTTTCGCACCCACTTTCACAATGCATAGGCTGTTTTTCCATGACCTAGCATTATTAAATTGCACTTATCAATCATTCTTGCCAGGAATGCCATCGCCAACTACATTAAAGAAGTCAGAGAAGTCTGGTTTCAGCAGTCCCTCGCCTTCGCAGACCTCTTCCCTTGGAACAGCATTCACACAGCATCATCGACCTGTCATTACAGGACCCAGAGGTGAGGCCTTAACAAAGTCCACCAGTGAACTGGAACTGGAATCATGGTGCCATCAAGTTGTGGTTCACGAGAGTGGCTGTTACAGATTCCTGAGGGTTTTGGACAGAGAGGGGATGATCTACACTCTGATCTTTCATATATGGTTTAATTGCTTAGGATCAATCTTGGCAGGGTGGGGAATGAACTTTTCAATTGAATGACACCTTCATATTTAGGAGCAAAACAAGTGTAAGATTCTGTGCTTTCAGTCTGTCAAGATGCCCTCTATTCTACTGCTGCATCACTTTAACCCATCAAAGATCCTGCTTTTGTGTTTGCATGCCATTTTGCATTCAGCATTAGGATTCACTGTGCCAGACCATTTGCTGTCATTCATGCTCTTTTTTGTTGATGTTTTAGATGACATTTTTTAAAGCCTAGTTGGTTTGCAACACAATGGGTGACTTAAACCAGAAGAGTTTCTAAACAATGGTTAGACATTGGTTTTCAGATTGCAATAGTTTGGTTTGCAGATGGCAGTAGAAAAGTGAAAATAGTACTTGATTAAATTGTAAAAGGCAGGCTTGCAATAAGCATGCATCTGCTTACCCAGCAGGATGGAAAAATAATATGACCTTCGTTTCCTGGGTATTCAAAATTTGGGGGTTTGCACCTTGGTGTTTTAAATATGCTTTTTCTCTTGCTTAGGATCTGACATAAGAAATACTTTGCTCTTCATCAGTTTTATGTGAAAAAAAGCATTATCACCAGTTTTTTACTTACAAAAACAGAGAGTGAAACTTTATGCTCACATTTGCCCTGACAGTCTTCAGCTTGCAGTTTTGCAAGCTAGAGATTGCCCTATTACAGTTCCTCAGCATTAAAAGAGGAACTACATGTGGAGTGGACTGTCCCATGCATGGTTTACATCAAATGAGGGACTAGCCAATAAAATAAAATGGATAGTTGCAGCAGAATTATGTTTCTTTTTGTGACCCGTTGATTTGCTGGAGATACTAGTTGGTTAAACGTATAAAACTTGAGAGGAGTTCACATTGGGGAAAAAGCAGGTGTTCACATTTACTTTTTTTTTTACAGTGCAATCCTGTATGTATTTGCTTGGAAGTAAGTCCCATAGAGTTCAGTGAGTCTTGCTTCCAGGTGAGTAGCTGTAGGACTGTAACCCTGGACAAGTCTTCCCCGTAAGCAATATAAACTTGGAGCCCACCAACAGCAGTGAAGTAGAAAATGTCACTACTGCAAAACTTTGCAAAGTGATCTTGTGTAGCTTTTAGAATAATATGGCAGAGGAATTGCCCAGTTGGAACGCAGTGCAGAATTGTTTGTTACTAATCTAGCCAGTTGCTGGAAGGCCTGCATGAATTTTAAGAACGGTCTTGATAATTAATGATAATAGCAAAGTATTCATAGTATCAAAGTTATGTTAGCAGTATATTCAGCTGCACACCAGCTGACACTACAAGCTATATCCTGAAATCAAGAAGCAATCTAGTCCTTTCTTAGGCTCTTCTTGCTGCATCTGTACCAGAAGATTGCACTGGTGTAGCTAAGATGACGATGATGATTTCATTAACTTATATACCCCCTGTTAGTGTTCATGTATACAGTCTGAATAGAATAAAAATTGTCCAGTGGGCTCTCACTTGGAATCTATCTGAAGCTATGCACTGCACTGGGCAATTTTAACAATTTTGGGTTTCAGTCATATAACAGTGAGTGCTTGGCTAACGTTACCTGTTTTCTGTTACCCATTCTTCAGTGTAAGTCATCTGGCATAAGCTATGTTAGAAGTCTAGACATTCTTATGGACTTACACAAGTTCCAAAGCTGTCTTACAAGATAAATCATTATTTAGCATTCCCCATATAGTAAAGCAAAAGTTTCCTTCTCACCACCAGGACTATTTATTTTCCTACATTCCTCCCCCGTATTCACATCTTTTCAAGGAATATCTTGGACAAATAAAAATGTAAAAAAAGAGCTATGTTTCTACATAGAACCATACAGCGAATTGGCCTAAAAATTATTGTTGAAAAGACAGTTGCACTGGCCAATTTAAACCTTTATTTCCTGAGAGATATAGCCACATCTCATGCTTTCTAGTCCTGAAATTGTGTTAATGAAGATTACCATCTACTTCTGTTTGTAATCAGAAAAAATTTAATTCAGCCAAGAGCAAATCCAGGGAAAGGTCACTGTTCAAGCAAGATAAGATGAAACCATCTTTTAACCATCACCCAGGAAGAGTTTATACTTTCAGAACCCTGACTTTGTTCATGTTCTGGCTCACAGGGGAAGCATACACAGAAAGAACCACCTCTCTGTTTCTCCAGCCTGTTGTTTTCATGCTCCCCTTATTGCAAATGAATGACACATGCCTTAGGAATGACTGAATAGGGCTATTGTGAACCATCTGAAATGTCTGGGTTTTCATCTTTCAGTACATATAAATGCAGTACATTGCAAGACAACCAAAGCATAAACCAATGGAGGCAGACTGTCCTTGTTTAGGAAAGGATGTAGTTGGCAAACAAGCCAAAGCTGTTAAAAAAAACAACTCCTAGCCTCTGAGACCACCTGGCGATGCTGAATCAAGAAGTATCATGAAATTGTGCATCTCCTCTTTGAGGGGGATCTTAAACCTATCTTGTACTTGGGAACATGTACCCAAGTAGACTGTGTTTTTGAGCTCAGCTTCAGTTTATTGGCCTTCATCTAGGCCCAGGGTAGATTTGATATAAATCAAATTTATTTAAATTGTCAAAAAATCATGATTTTAAAAACTTGGATATTTTGATTATTTAAGTAAAAAATGGTTTTTAATTAAATTATGATTTAAAGTATGATTTAAATCAATTTGATATTTTAAAAATCATTGATTTTTATCCATCCTGCCATTACTGACTGCAGACATATATCATCTGCAAAAATGTCCTGGTATCACTTATTTATTTATCTTTCATTTATTTTGCATCTAGATTCAATGAATCTACTCTGGGCGGCTTACAGACAAAATTTAAAACAAGCAATATCAAACAACATAGAAAGGTCCAAGATGATAAGACATGAAATGGAAGGTGGGAAGGCTTGCCTGAAGAACCAAGTCTTCAGCTTGTTCTTAAAAACTCTCAGTGAGGGAGCCAGGCGAATCTCAAAGGGCAAGATGTTCCAGAGCCAAGGGGCCACCGCCGAGAAGGCCTGGTTTCTAGTTCTCTCCTTCTGGGCTTCTCTCGGAGTCAAGCCCCTCAGCCACCCAGCCTGGCTAGATCAAGTGACATGAGTAGAACTCGGTGGGAGCAAGCGCTCTGTCAGGTATCGAGGCTCTAAACCGTTTAGGGCTTTATTTGTAAGCATTAGCACCTTGCGGAAATGAATGGGCAACCAGTGTAAGGCCACCAGACTGGGGGAAATGTGATGGTATTTTTTCACCCCAGTTAATAACCTGACGGCCATATTCTGGACCATTTGTAGTTTCCGCATCAATCTGAAGGGTAGCCCCACATAGAGCGCATTACAGTAGTCTAATCTTGAGATTACGAGTGCATGAACCAGAGTGCCATATGGTCTCCATCTTTCTTCTAACAAAGGTTAGTATCAAGAAACACTTTGCTACCAAACTCCGGCTTGAAGCTAGATTTAAATGGATTCTTGGTACTGTTACTCTCTAAAGCAGTGGTTTTAGAAGCATCTTGGGTTCCCAGATGTTCTTAGACTGCAACTCCCAGAAATCCTGGCTAGCACAGCTAGTGGTGAAGACTTCTGGGAATTGCAGTCAAAGAACACCTGGGGACCCCCAGTTTGAGAACCAGTGCTCTAGAGCACCATGCTTGGTGATAACATAGTAATAATAAGCATAAGCATTCAGGATTTGTCTCAAAAGATTACAACAGGAGCTTCATTAGACAAAGACATGCAGATACTTTTTATGAGTGTAAGCTTTGACAAATTAAATGGGCAGCCAAGTATTTTCAGGCTTCTTGACCCAGCTATCCAATAGAAGCATACCCTTCTACACATCACTGGACACGGCTAGAAAATAGGATCTAGCAGCTGCAAACACTTCTGTTGAATGAAACAAACATAAAGCCATATTTCTTACAGAAAGGACCTAGGCAAAATGCAACAGCAAATACTTATGTGCCAGAATGTTCTGTGTGGAAATTGATGCCCCCAAGCCTTGCTGCTTTCAGGTATGCATCATAGCTGTGATGTAGCCATCTGGAACAGAATGTAGGTTTGACCATTAAGTGTCAGATGTGCTAGTGCTTTATAGTTCCAAAGATTGGCAATTTTTTCTAAACATATATCAGTTAGATGAGACATGATGCTAGTGGCTGATTTGTGGATGAAATTGGTTTCCATGATTTTCTGCTCTCCTAGCTAAATTACATTGGTTGAAATGTATTCTACATGCACACATACAGGATAGGGATAGTTTCAAGCTGTTAAGTCAAATCTTTTGTTTATAGATTGTGAGAGCATGTAATTGCCAAGAAAATATTGTTGTTGTGTTTGCACTTTGCCAACAGTGAAACAAGGATGCTGCAGGAAGGCCTCTAGCCTTCCTGAGCAGAGGACCTTCTCAGAAATGTTTACCCTTTGGTGCTTTTTAATTGGGAAAGACAATTCCTCAGACTTGGTTCACAAAACCATAAGATTTGCTGCGGGATCAAATCTCACTATCTCTAGGCTGAATTTACACTCAGGTTTGTTGTGGGGATAACAGTGGAATAGGGACAGGCACACTGCCCTTGATTCTTTGAGAGTGGAGCAAAATAAACAGGATCAGTGTGGTCTTGTAGAGACAGTGTGGAAATGTAGTGGTTTTGAGTGCTGAACTGAGATTTGAGAGAGAGAGAGAGAGAGAGAGCTACCTCATACAGAGCTGTTTGCAGATAGAGGAGAGGAAGAGAGAGAGAGAGAGAGAGAGCGCTACCTCATACAGAGCTGTTTGCAGATAAAGGAGAGGAGAGGAGGAGAGCCATGTTTTCACTGGTTGC